GTTGATGGACTTGTACTTTAGCTTTGGTGTTGGTGCTCGCTCACCGGAGTGGTTAACGGTATGGGGCCGGAGGATCGGTATCTTGTATTTAGTTGCCTGTATTTGCGGGGGTAGCAGGGCCCCAGTCCCAGCGGTGGATCCCGGCCGGCGTTAAGCTCCTGTCGGGGGGGCGCTCGGTCATAAGCCATGTTTTGGCGCGACGAGTATAAATAACCTTAGATTGAATTCGGACACCTGTACCTAGGAATTACACTCTCTACTATCTGGCATCCTCTTGAACCCCTGAACCCTGACCCTGAACCCCTGAACCCTGAACCTCATACAACTCGCTTCGGTTGTACCCCCGCACCTAGACCTCGTCTCCAGATTCCTGCCTGTCCTGATCGTGGTGTGCCTTGGGCTACCCGACCCGCAGACCCTGTCCGTTACAGGTTGCTACAACAACAAGTGCCAAGTACACTACATGGAGATGAAGGGTTCGGGATATTGGCCTCGGGAAGTGAACCGATGGCCACCCAGGACCTCACCCCTAGGATTACTGGCGAAATTACCAACACCGGAGCCCATGGCTCTAGTTCAATACGATCAACCAACTCCGAGGACAGAGTCAAGGAGAAGGGGGGCCAAAAAACAAAAATGGGTAAAACCCAGAAGGACGAGGCACGTCTCCTGGGAGAAAGAGGAGGGCAAGGAGGAACAAGAGACGACAATAATGAAATTGTTGGCGGAAGCAGAGGAAACGAAAAAATTGTTGGAATGGCAAGTGGAAAAGATAGGACAACTCCAAAGCAAGTTAAGGGAGGAAACGAGGATAAGAAAGGTACTCCAGAACAACTGGAGGAGAGAAGAGAAGGAGGCTGAAAAGACCCTGACGAGGGTGAGAAAGTTCAGCGCTTGGCTAAACAAACAAGCCAAGTGGGGACTACCGGCGGACAGGGCATGGGGATTGGAGGAAAGACTGTTATAAGCCTGATTGGACTCAGGCTGAGGGAGAGGAGAGCTAATGTCACAAACTGTGACTAAGCAAGGCAGATTTCACATAGCTCTGGATTCCGAGCTATAGGTATGTGGGGATATCACATGACGCATACTAAGCCCGCCATAGGTTGTTATATTTACCTGTTCGTGACTCACAGTGTGAGTTACACGATGTTATGATTTTCGAACATGACTCAATTTATGAGTCATGGGTTTCACTCAGGTGACGCGAGTTGCGTACCTGACTTGGTTATTATGTTTTGATTGGTTTTAAGTATGTTGCGCAGCGACTCATAGGAGTCGGCTGATGGATTTCGTGTGACTCATAGTTATGAGACACAGGGTTTACGTGACATGAGGTATGAGTCACGCCAGGTGAAGAACTACTATATAAGGGATCACTAGGACCCCGAGTATTAGTTCTTCACAGGTTCTTCTTGTTTATTTCCTACCTTTAAGTTTATTAATAAAACCTACCGTTACGCTCTTTAAGATTTATTTCAAGAAACCCAAGAATTGTCTTTCCTCCCACGCGAGAAGATTACCTCTCATTCCCCGTCAAGCAATTAAGTCCTGAAAAGAGACTTAAGGAGATTAGAGGAATAGACGCGATAAGATAGAAGTCAAAGGACCTAGCTATCGATATTGCGTAGGCAATAGCCTAAGAACTATTACCTCGTCTCAAGATAAGAATCATTACCTGTCGCACCCTCACGCCCCGTAGGATTCTTAACAGACTAGGATAAATAAACTTAGATATAATTTAGATACCTGTACCTAGGAATTACAGCTCTCTTCTACTTCACGTCCTCTTGAACCCGTGAACCCTGACCCTGAACCCCTGAACCATGTACCTCATAAAACTTGACTAGGTTGTACGCCTATTCCTAGACCTCGTCTCTGAACTCCTGCCTGCTCCGCTCGTAGTGTGCCTTGGACTACCCAACCCTCAGACCCTCTCTGTTACACTCTGTTAACTAATAATAAGAAGGAATTCAATTGAGTAGCTAAGGTATGTGGCTTTTGTCCTAGCTTTGACTTTCAGAATCTGTTTTCAGCAGAAGCTTTAAGTTGTACAAGTACATGAGGTCTCATATTTTGTAAAGGCACAGGAGATGTATGAAGTAAATATAAACAGTATCAAGTTGGAGGATCCCTTCCAGTTCATAGATATATGTAACAATGTTGTCACTAGTACGAGTACGTTGCACATTAACTTTTACATTGGCATTAAACTACTCAAGCTGACAATAGCTGCACTATTATTTAGCCTCGCATTAGCGCAAATCCGAGTTTTGCGAAACGATACGGCATACAGTAAGAGGTCACTACCGCTAACTGCATTCAAGTTGTCGTCCGGGAAATGGGCTTGCAAGCCTCACAGCGCTTTTTTCGTCCTAGTTCTATCTCCCGGCCCGAACACACTTCGAATTTTGCTTGGACCATAGCTCGCCTTCCCTGTTCGTGTGACTGTTAGAAATACTCGGAATCGAAGACCGTGGTTTTACTTCTAGTTACCAGTGCTTCCAAACATGCCCTCAGTGACTGCCGGTAGGCCAAGGGCAATGAGCACTAGTGGGCCAAGACACACCAGTCCAAGTTTTGCACCACCTTGAACATTTTTTAACTCCCAAGACGCTACTCCAATACTGGTAGACCAGCATCCAACTCGAGCTAAAGGCTGGGAAAAAAAATGTTGGAAATAACAGAAGCGCAGGAGATTGTCTATGAGATCATTATATGATTGTTATTATTTTCACTTTTACATCCCCTCCGCCACAGTTCTCGACTGTATCGGTATTACCTACTCGTTTCAATAATGTCAAGGTAACGTCCAGGTGTGGGTGAGGTCCATGTTCGTCTCGTATCGATGACATATCTATATTAAGTATACTCCCCCCCCCCCTGTCATCGACGCACCCTCGAGCAAAGTCACACCCTGCCATCCCGGATGAACAGAGTCCGAAGAATCTGTCCGGTAGAACAATCAATCCGGGGCAACAAGTCACCTTTTGGCTCAAAGTTCAGAACTCGGAAAGCTTGCATTTGAGACACCGAGGTATCCTGACTCCCGATGTCCAGGACAGCGGGGTGCGCCTCTACTCGAGTACGAGTACTGAATTCGTAGTATTAGAGTACGGTACAAGTACAAGTACCGTACTAGTGCTTGTACTAGCACTCCAATCGGTACTTGTGTTGTGTCCTACTTGTAGCCGTTTGAGACAGGGATCCTGGCAACCCTTGAGCATGAGCCCTTTTTCCAAAGGTTCAAATTTCTTTTATTATCATACGGGGGCTTCAAGCACAAGCATTACCAAGAAGGTACGGTAATTCACGGGGTGTTGTGATGTGGGTCTACTAGTACCGCATGAATTGGTTTAACTGGAAATGGCGCTAGGCCGATCAAGGGGGGCCTGGATCAATAAGCGAGAAAGATTTGCAGGAGAGTTGCCCTCAAAGGTTAGATTGAGACGATGATTTGCCACTAGGTGCTGTTTCTATCAAACAGTTTAACTTTTTTGGGGACAGAGTTTCCCAAAGAGGTTACTCTCACTCGCTTATTGTGCTACACTTTATTTGACTACTCTAGCGCTATTTCCCGTTTAACCAAGTAATGCGGTACCTGGTACCGGTAATATGTCTGCACTTGAATGCGTGTGTCCCGGTATGTACGAGTACCGGTACTTATCCCAGGCCATGAGTACCGGAAACAAGGGGGGATATAATGCAGGGATATTTTTTCCGGGCTCTCAGATACGCACAGATATTTTATCATATATATTTCTTTCATCCCTGTTTCGAGTACTCTACTCGACACAGTACTCGAGTACTGTACAGTCAAACCTCGCTGTCCCAGAATTCGATGATACGGATTCCTCGCTGCCCCTTACGAAATCCTGCAAAGTCAAAAACTTTTCACACCAAACTTGATCCATTGTCCCGAATCACTAGTCATCACGGATAATCTCTTCGGATTTTGGTCGTCCTGGGTGAAGAGGTGCGACTGTGCTTGTCCCAAGCCGTAAGTACCGTACTCGAGTACAGAGTATAAGCATGTGTGTATATCTGGGTCTGCGTCTGCGCTTGTGTCCCTTTTCAGCACTCGTGGTGCGAGTGTGAGATCATGAATGCTGGTGGCGATCATGGAACTCAGGGAGATGGATGGAGTACTTGTACCGTAGGCTGGCCAAGTGTGGTACTCGTACTGTACCGGCATGTGGGATGTGGAATTCCCGGGCCGTTTTTGGGAGTCTATCGGACTCTCCCTCACAAATGTGGTCTGGATATCGGTGCGACCTTGGCCGACGGGTGGCAAGTTCTGCTGCTACGAATGCAGCATTGGATGCGAGGCTAACTGATTCGAGCGGGAGGGTGGGGATGGATGTCGGCCATCTCGCCGACCCAGAGCGCGATGGGATTGGCTCCTAGATGCAGGGGTGGCCCCCTCCCCTGTGCGGCCTGATACTGGTGGATACGGTGCAGTCAGGTCACTGGCATGGAAACGAATTGCTGTCGTAATCTGGTTCAGAAGCTACATCCATCTACTCTCGTACGGTACATACACTCCGGTATCATACCCATTACTTCACCCGCAGCCTTACCCTACCGACACGACTCTCCCATCTCTCCCTCCGCTATTTGCTCTTTCCCTTTCTCGTCCACTCAAACCGTAAGGGGTCGGCTGTCCCACTTGAAATCTTTTGTTGGCTATGTTATAAGTGTTGGTCCGTTGCCAGAATATAGGGGGGGAGGAGGAAGGGAAATCTACTTGCAGAAGCAAAGCAGCCTCCCCCCCCCCACAAATCAATCTCACAGTTGGCTTACTAACTCCTCACCACCCTTACTCCTCGTTCTCGTCTTCGTCTTCGTGCTCGCTCTCATAACCACCTCGCTCCCCTCCGCTCTTCCAAGCACGAATCGAATCCCGTAAGGAAGATTTGCCTCTTTTCCTCTCGCATACGGTTCACCCACGCTTTCTCTCTCGTTCCGTTTTATTTTTATTCCCCTTCATTGAAAGAAAAATAATAATACCCGTTTACCCTCCCCCGCTTGACCACACAGATGCCTCCCAAACGCAGACACACCAAATCTCGAAACGGCTGCATGACATGTAGAAGGCGAAGGGTGAAGGTAAATGACATTCCCATGTTTGTCAATTATACCATACCAATGCGGTGGTGGTGGGTTAGGATGGCCGATTGGGCTGACGGTAGACGAACGAGCTCTCTAGTGTGATGAAATCCGGCCGATATGTACAAACTGTACCCGCCGGGAACTCGATTGCATGTACGCCGCTTATTGCCCTCCTGGTCGACCTGGCATTTCTTGTGCCCGCTCTTCCCCTTCTGCTTCCTCCTCTTCTTCCCCCTCATCGACTTGTCCACCTTCTCAAGCCGTCGTTCCACGACCACGGGCGCTGCCGCTGTTGCTGCAGTGCCAGACCCCTGCTTCGACTAAGCCCCGCAAGAGCGGTAGCACCAGCAGTTCGGTAGTAGACCCGCTAACAGCACTCGCAAAGCAATTGGATTCCATCCTACTTGGCACCCAGTCAAAGACTCCTTCTCCTCTCCCTCGAATTTCACTATCGAGAAAGGATCTGGACAACCTGAGCCTCTTGCACCACTTTACGATAGAAACACACCGCTCCTTAACAAACGAAGGAGCTGTGGAGGTGTTTAGGACTAAACTTCCAAGGATAGCTCTACAAAACGAATTGACCATGCATGCCCTCCTGGCAGTTACAGCACTGCATCTGAGCAGTACCCTGGAGGCACCCTTAGCCGCATCACGCTACCAAATTATTGCAGCCGGCCACTACGATCGGGCGCTAAGTTCTTTAAGGACCGCCATCCTCGAGCGGTCACAAAACGGGGATGCCATATTTGCAGCGAGCACAATGATAGCAGTCCACGGTATCGCCTGCCAGGTATCCCCCAGCGAATCCAACCACGTTCCAAGGGTCGTAAACTGGATACCACTCCTCAAAGGTGTATACGCAATACTCCAAGAATGGGGGGAGCGGGTCTCGCAGGGCGAGCTAGGGCCTGTCATCCACCAAGGTGCTACAAAGCCGATCGAAGACGGTGACTTTTTAACCCTTCCAGCATCCCTCCTCGACTTAGCCCTTGAGACGCCCCCCACCTCAAGCGTCGCCCACGACAGCGATGATGGCGAAGTCGTCGACGCCGTTGCAGCAAAGGTATACAGGGATGTGTTGGGCTTACTGCGGGTAGTCTGGAACCACTTCTGGACAACCGGCCACTCGATCGCCACTAGCATACAATTCCTTGTCCTCTTGCCGGAGGAGTACATTCACTACCTCCGGCAGGATAGGCCACGCGCGCTGGTGATATTCTGTTACTTTTTGTGCACCCTGAAGAAGTTGGATGGGTACTGGTGGATCAAGGGAAGCGCCCAGGAGACGTTTGTCAAGATGGAGAGGAAGTTGAACATAAGGTGGAGGGAGCGGTGGCTGAAGTGGCCTAAGGGTATTATCATGGGGGATTGCGAAGTTATCGAAGAGGGGCCGTTGTAACTATGAGAAAGTAAATAAGGTGGGGTGTTTGGGGTGTTTCTCTTTCGGTCTCGTTTTTTGATTCTTATAATACGTGTTGTATCTGGCGTAACTCGTTTTCAATTTTTTTTGTTTCTGGCCGCTTGTTCATGTTTATTAATTCAGTGTAGCTTCTGGGGCGGAGTCCTGAAGATTTTTCGAAATTCAATTATCATGGCACGATTTTGTAAGGCTGGCTCTGTTGCTGACTCGAGTTTTTGTTGGCGATTTCTATTACACTAACCATATCATGCAGTGAAGTGATTAGTTATCAGCTCCGACATTGACGCAACTGCCGCCCGGCCCGGCAGTTAGACGCAAGGGTATGTGACATGACACGAGAGCCAGAGGATGAGCCGACTGGATTTTGCTAAAAATAGAGGGTGTAGATTGTGAATAGGTCGGGGAATGTGTAACAATATATATACCGTACACCTTACACAAGAGGGGAGTAACAAAGATAATAGTGCCCTACCAGTACTATTGATACCCTGGCGCCATATCGTACGTATCGGTAATACTCGTACAACACGCGAATAACAAGGGAGACGGGGAAAGTCGGTGAAATTCCCCTTCTAGGACGAGATGCCGTGAAGGGATCAACGCAAGGCCAGCCCTCCCTTAGGCCAAATAAAAAAAGAAAAAAGGAAAAGTGAGCGTGCTCAGGGGTGGGATAGCATTGGGACAAGTAAGCTCGGGGTAAATATTTCTTTTTTTCTGTGCAAAAAATTATTATGTATTATCAGGAAAGGGAAAAGAGGAGTGGGAGCATTGCTTCATAAAAATCCTCGAAGCTTCCCAATTCTTTCCTGTCCCGTAACAGGAGTAGTGATCTAGCTTATTAACACTGGAAGAGTGGGGTAAATTCTCGTCTATAATAGTAAAAAGTGACTAAGCAAAGGCTCCTGTAATTTAGCCCGTTCACTACCAAAAGAATGTGCAAAAAAAAGGCCCGCCATTCAATTACTTGTAGCCACTAAGCGTAAGTGCTCCTTGGCCCATATTCCGGTTTTCAAGTCAGTTTATCTGTGTATGGAGTAAGATCTCGGGATTAATTTAAAGCTTACTTAGTAGCGACTGCTTGCACTATGAGCTTGCAAAATTAGGCCGTCTCTTACTAAGAGTTGATAATTATTATCAATTTATGATGCCACTGAGATAGTAGTTGCTGTAGCAACACCTCACAACAATTTTGCATGCCTTGACAAGGTTCAGGTGTGTGGAGGGGTCCGAGGACTTTCTGCAGTAAACTTTGAATCGTATGCACGATAATATATTATAGCTTCTCCGGGTTGGAATATCTCCCGCCCCAGTTTAAGATGGGCCCTCCTGTTTTAAAAAAAAAACCCCCTCCGGTAAATCACTGTTTGTATGCAAATGTGCTGAATAACCAAGACTTTTTGCCCAGCCATTTTATAGTTTTTTTTACCTGAAGATGTATAGACATTATCATACCTCGCAGACACCAACATCCCGGTCCGTCCCAATACGTTACCCTTACTGTAACGCCCCTCGTACGGTACATGTACGCGCCACGATAATACACGAGGTAATTACAAGGTTCCCATCGTATCGCTCTTGCATCAGAGTACAGTCGCGCCGCAGAAGCACAGCAATTGGAAGAGGGGGACCGGGCGGGGAAACGAGGAAGAAAGGCGGGTGTGAGGTTCCAACATCCAACTTGTACCGTATCTGCTGTAACAATTGAACCACGCGTTCGTAGTTCCGGAGTTCCCTTCTATTGGGTACGGGGGGGGCAGAGCACCACGGAAACTGAACTTTCCACCTCAGTCCAAGCTTACAATTGGGAAAAAGGAAAAAAGAAAAAAAAAGTGCCGCAGGTTGCAGTAGCAGTGAAGGCAATCCCAACGTTCCTCTCGCTAGGTTCCATTATCCTGGTAGGTGTCATACGGTTGCATCAATTCGGGCTTCCCCGCCGGCAGCAGGTTTCTCCGATCGAAAAGGTGGACGAATTCCTTCTTGTCTTAGAGATAATGCGTGTTTTAGTAATATCGTACTTACATGATCTAGGGAAGGTTTGAAGGTTTTAGTTATTGCTTTTTTTTTCTTTCCTTCGGATAAGTTGTGGGGCTTCGGTTTTCCAGGAGTGGTCAAGGTTTATTCGAGTTTTACGAGTATGATACTGTGAGTTTTTTTATAATGCGCTAACTTAATAGATTACGGTGGTGTTCGAAGCATGCAGATCAAGATTGTTCACCTTGATTTTCTGATAAAGTGAAAATCAAAGGCCTCCCAACATCTTGCAAGAATGTTAAACAAACTTTAACGGTTACAGCTTATACACGCGTACTCAAGTATGACTTGATCGGAGAGGTGGTAATTACTGAGAAGTAGATAACTGAGACTGCCATAGCAATAATTGGTGAGGTATGGTTCTGGAGGACTAGACATGGAACCACTTTTCTCATAAAAAGTGTGAGAAATAACCTATTTATTATTATTGCTCTGCCTTGGCCAACTTGATATAATACTGGCCTATATATAATATCTTCAAGTTAGTTCTTCTCCTTGCTCATTTATTAACTTGACCTGATTGATATCAATATATATTATTTATCCTGTTTTATCTTGAGAAAAGCATACTTTTAATTGATGATAATTGTTTTAATTGTTATTATAGACTACTAAGCTTAACTAGAGATATTACAGAAAATGTGATATCCAAAACTATCACATTTTCTGCCAGAACAGCAGTCCTATATCTGGTCTTTCAAACTTCTACAAGTTTATACTCTTTGCTAGAAAAACATCAGCAATACAGGTAGAGTAACTAGTAGTATTATAAAATAGAAAGAGTACTTGATGCTTGGATATCTATTTTGAAGTTGAAATTACAATCTTAATAACTTGTTCTACAAGATCTTCTCCATCCTACTGCTGGTAGGTATTACCTCTATATTTAATTTTGGTAGCTACAGAATGGTAGTTAATTTAGGAACTTGAGTTGGTATTAGTATTAAGATTAATGTTAGGAAAATTAGCAGTTAGTAACTAACTGGGTACCTTTAGATGACCTCTAGCTGTAATAGAATAGGATATCATAATACCTTTTCCACATACTCTTTAATAAAATAGCGGTTTTCCATTCTTCAAATATATATAATGCCCTTAACCACCAAAACCAAACACCAACCCTCTATATCTTACCACAATTAGGCTTTATATATTATCACAAAAATCCGAACGTAGTAAGCAGGTCCAACTGTCGTTCCAACGGTCTCAGCAGCGATGACTGAGGCTGGAGGGGTAAGAGAAAATTTTTAATCCTGCTTAGATAGAACACATGGGGTGGGAATTATCAAAAGTCCTATTCCACATCGAGCTCCGTTCACAATACCTGTTGATCTCCCTCGGTTTACTTCGCTAAAGATCCACTGGGTTCATTGATTATTGTTTGTTGGGTTGGGTCGCGCCACTGGCAGGTCGAGTTTCCGCTAGGCTTGGGTTGGGTCGGGTTAACCCATTGGAAGGCTTGGATTCATATCATCACGAAGGGGTTCCTATGTGTTCACGATTCCACACTGCAATAGATAGAACTAGCCTCTTCTCCTTTCCCTCCTTTTCTCCCTTCTCATCTCTCTCCTCCTCCCCCCACCGTTGATGGTAGTCTTATATCAGGATGGTGACTTCCCGAGCCACACGTGTCGATCTCTAACCAGGGTCCTACTGTACCAGGCACCGGTACGGCCATGCCTACAAGATCAATCACCCTCCCTACAGGGCCAGTGAGAACCACCTACACCCCCTCCCTTCCCTCGAGGAACTCAATCCCACTGGCATAGAGCCCGTTCCCTTGGAGACTACGGTTGCAAATCCAACAATACTTCTATCATACCCAGTGCCGACCGAGAATCTCTCCCCCCCAATAGGCTGGCATGACCCTTAGCTCCACCACGGGCCCGGCCCCAGCACTCCCGTCATAACGCACTTCTCTTCTTCGAGTGCCATGGCTACTGCCTCAGACGTGGCGCCAACAACTGGTTCCACCGCCGCGACCTCTACCGCGACCTCTACAATCTCATCCGATGTCTCCGCCATCACTACAGCCACCATTACCACCACCAATACTCTCCATCGCGGCAGGGCCCAGCGGCCACAGCCCCCGATTCAAAATGTGCCGTGGCTGTGTTCAGGCCCGGTAATGCCACCAGATACGTCCGGGCTAGCTCCTAGAACCCCAGGCGTCCATCGGAGCCTCCACCCGCCCTGCAGCTGGGACAGCGCCAGTGCTGGAAGGGCATATGGCGTGCCAGCGGGTGGGTGTGCACTAGGACTGGGCGACCCGGGGGGGTAGTTTAGATGGAGACTGGGGACCTGCAAGGCGGGCCCGTGGTTTGGGTACTAGAAGTTTCACCGTCGCTGCGGTAGTGGTGGGGATGGGAAGGCGGCTGCTACGGGTGCGGTTGGGGTGCAAGAGAGGGGGGCTGGGGTGGTAATTCTTGGCGGTTTGTATTTTTGTTCTTCTCGCATTCCCTTCGCTCACGCGGTTGGATTGGTGTTTCACAGGGTGGACTAGTGGCGCTGGCATTTCCCACTGCTGCGCTTGAATAGCCGTTGTAGGTTTAGGGTCAGATTAGCCAGAGTGTGTTACCTATCTTTCATCCTTTTGCGGGAAGTGATATCTTTATTTTTGAATTGTAAATTTAGTGTCGTCACTGCTTCTAATGTTTTGGCCTTGACAGAAGCTCTTGTTGGGAGTCCTTGTTGGTGGAGGTACCATCTGTTGTGAACTCAGATGTGGGGTAGTGTGATGATCCATGAAGAAAGGGTTTTTTTATCTTTTCGATTTTTTCGCCTCCATCCGTATTAGAATGGTTCTCGACTGTCTAGAGAGGGTTGTAGCTCCATCACCACGTCCTGGAACTTGGAACGGGATGAAATCTGAAGTCTACTGAAGGTCTTGTCGTCCATCTGCGATTTGTTCCATCAATTTAACATATAACATACTAACTGGTATGGTACCGAGTCAACTCCCACCCTCCACATTTTCGACGAATGTTTATCTCTCAGCCTGTAGCTCCGGAGAACAAATGTTTAATGAGTTTTTGACAGTGGTCGGGATATTTGTGCTGCCTGGGATTTCCGGGCCCCGGTTGCCTCGTAGCTGGCAAATATTTTGCTGATGAGTAGCAGATTTCCGCAGATCTTCAGCCATTCATGC